GTGGTTTTTGTTTGTTTGGTTTTTTTTGTTGTTGTCTATTTCTGTGCACAAATGCAAAATTGTAGTTTGAGTACCTTGGTGGTTTCAAAATGGATGACAAGTATACTCTGTAATCTGTCTCTGAAAAAACGGAATGTACTGAACCTTCCAATCAGATATCTGAAGTAAAACTAGCCTCACAGATAATTGTCAGCAATCTGTCACCAAACTGGAACACTGAAGCAGGCCAGTAGCACAGGGACATCCACCACTTGAACCACTCCTGACAATAACAGAGGACTGACAGCACGATTTACAGCAATTTGCATTTGAAGCTTACTCAGAAGTTGTTATACATAAAGTGCAAAGGAATGCAAATGCGGGTAAAATGTAATTATGTTTGGGGACTTTTTGTTTTGTTTTGGGTTGTTTTGGTTTACTTTGTCCTCTTCATCTGGTTTTGAATCTGATTTCTGCTTTACTTAATGCCTTAAAATTTTTATAAGGTTTGTGTAAGGCATAGAGTGAAAAATGGAGATAATTGGATTTGTGGAACTGGTGGTGAAGTGCCACAGAGATAATTAAGGGACTGAGGCATCGTTTGTCTGAGGAGAGGCACAAAGAGTTGGGACTATTCAGCCTGGGGAAGAGTCAAGGAGATCTCACCAATGTGCACAAATGCCTGAAAAGATGAAGCAAAGAGAGCCAGGCTCCTCTGGTGGCCAGTGACAGGACAAGAGACAATAGGAAAAATTTCAGATCCCTGAATTCCACCTCAACATAAGCCAGTTTTCTACTGTGACCAAAAATTTTCACAGGTTGACCAGAGAGGTTGTAAAATCTAATCTTCAGAGGTATTCAAAACCTGACTAGACACAGTCCCAGGCAAGGAGCTGTAGGTGGCCCTTCTTGAACAGGAGTGTTGGACAAGATCCTGAGGTCACTTCTGACCTAAATCTTTGCTGTTCTTTGGCACAGGCATTTGAGGGGCACCCAGACAGGCATCATGAAAAGTGGGTGAACAAATGTAGGGATTCTGTGTGTAAGGATAGGAAAAACACCAGGCTGACATCCAGTCCTGGACATCCAGTGATTTTCATTTTCTTTGCACCGTCCTTAATTCATTTATGTAGGTTTATTTTTCCTAACCAGAGTAGAGTGTGTATAATATGTAAGATGTAGCTGCTGGTGCCATCTGTTTGTGCTATTCTGTTGTTCCCCTGATGTTTATGACTACTGAGGCTACTGGTAGTGGGTCACTGGGTGCCTGTGTGCTGAGTTTACGTGGGTAATGTAGGTACCCTTGTCTGAAAAATCTGCAACAGCTCCAAGGGTTCCTATTCTAATAGAAGGTCACAAGAAGCTTTAAGTCTGGTACGTATTCAGGGCTTACCTATGTGCTCATTACAACCATTTTTAGAAAATTGCACTCAGTATTGAATGCTAGGAGCTTCTCTTCTCCAAACTACTCTCTCTGGACATACTAGGGTATCTCAATTCTTTATGTCCTAACAGTAGTAGTGTTGTCACCCTCAGTTTTTGTAAAATCTCTCTAAACTTCTTTGTTGTTCATCAAATCATGTTTCTGAGGACAAGACCTGCACCTCTTCATGAAGATCTCTTATTTTTCAGAAGACCAAAGTGAATCAAACAGGATAAGGAAACAAAAAAATAGTAGAGAATAGTCCTAAGAAAAGCATAACATTAGCAGCAGTTAATCAAATATGAGTAATGTTCATAGGAAGTACACAATATTCAATTCTAACAGGGAATGAAATGAACAGAAATTGTGAGAAGTGAGAAGATTCCCAAGTAAGAAACTAGATAAGGCTTTTTGTGGATGGAGATCAAAAAGCCATTTAAGCTGCAAAACAACCAGTGCATATGATTGATACCTTAAATGGACTAACAGAATTTTGCAGTAGTGCTAGCTGTATGCGTTTGTTCTCCACAGATCAAGAGAATTTAATGTTAATAATATCTAATAAGCTCATGTAGATAAGACAATTCTGTGGCTCACAATAAGGCAGAGAAGAAAGGGTCTTCATCAGGCTGTTGTTTTCATGCACTCACATGGAGCATAGGTCATACACAGCTTGCTTTGAAACTTAGTCCCTACACAGAGTAAATCAGGCAAGATTTCCTTATCTAATAAGCTGACTACTCGTGGTTTTTCTTAAACTTTTTCTTAGTTATTTTCTTTCTTGTTCGTTGTCATGCTCATAAGCTTTATACGTTCTATATAGATGTAACACATGAACTTCACTTGTGTTATCAGAATTGCATTGTTCCTGAAGTATTTGCTGATAGTGTACATCTAACTTTCCATTAGAGAGAGAGCCCATTTCCTCTGGGGCAGGGTCCTTGAACTTCTCTGGTTTCCAGGCTACTCATGGAAGCCAACATGCTTTGTGGTGTGTTTTGTTGCCCTCAGACTATCTCTGGATACATCAGTTCCACCGCCCATACAAAGCTCTGCAGGTATTTTCTGACTTCATTGCTAAAAAGGCTGGTGCCTGAATTTGGTTTTTCTTCTGCTTCTTATAATTTTAAAATACTGAGTAATACTGGTTCTTTGGTATTCTATAGTATTTATACCATAGTTATGTCTGAGCGCTGAAGTGGCACTAAAATGCAGTGTACAAAGTGGTACACAGGACCCAGAAAGAAAAGACCATGTTTGTTCTGAACAAGTAACACATGATACAGTTAAAGAATATTGGCTATTTTTTCACTAGAAACCAGATCATCTTATCAAAAATTGTGGAAGTGTAATTGATTTTATAGGTTTGGTTGTTAAATGGTAGCCCCCATTATTTTATGAAAGGAATGATAGGAAAGCCCTATTTTATTTTTATTTATTTTTTTTTAAGTATGACTACCTTGCACTTGCATCCACCTTCATCCTCTTCATCCTTCTACACCAGTCAGTTGAAAAGTTAGCCAATTCAGTAAGACATTTACTGATTCACATCCAGGGGCATTTAGAACCCAATGAAAAGGTGTCACTTACAGCCCTGAAAGTAGAGTGATAGAAGTTCACAGAAGAGACAAAATGAAACTTGTGGTCTCAAAGGTTTTCCAGCAACATTAGAAATTTCAGAGATGTCGAAAATTATTGATTTTCTTATGAAAAGCCACTACAGACCGGCTACATGACCCATTTATTCCATTTAGAGCAAAACTGTTGACCAAGGAGTCCCACACCAAGGCAGTTTTGCATTCTGACTGTATTGCTTTCAGCCAAGATCCTCTTCTAGGAACAAACTAGCAATAAGAGGCTAATCTGCTGTCCACATGTCATGTGTGCTGAGGTTCAGTGCACCTCATCTTGCAAGCCTGACCAGCATTTTGAGTGTTTAAAAAAAGACCACAGTTCACACGAGCACTAAAATGTACATAAAGCCTCTGACCATCATCATCTCCACTTTCCAAAGTCTAAGATCTCCTCCCCTTGTTGCTTGTTTCTGTCCCCGGACCCCATCAGCACTTCAGTGCCTCTTAAGCTGCTCTGGTGTGTAGATGGTTCTGTGGAAAAATGCATTTCCCAGAGCTGTTATAGGTGGGATGCTTGAAGAACCCTGCTTGACCTGTAGGCTGCAAGCATGCTTGTCTGTGTAAAAGGTTAGTGGGGTTGAGGCTGGAATGAATAATTACCCAGCTTATCTCACCTTTCTTCTTCCCATAGCTGACACATGTCCTGGGCACAGGCCCACTTGTGGCACCATAGAGGGGCAAACAGCTCTGCTGCTGGATCTAACAGATTATGGTCCCTTTGAGTCATTTGATCTGCAGTTTAAATCACTTTCTCTGACCTGTTTAAAGTTTTCTATGTTGCTTTTGAAACATTAAACAAGTCAAATGCCTGTCCTCTGTGAATATTTCAAGGGCTTCCTTTTATAGCCAACAAAAATGGTATCAAGGAAAATTTGTTCTAGACCAAAACCTGCTTTCTTCTTCTTCTTGCACATACCTCAGCCAATTGTCTCACCCAGGATCTTGACATTTGACTTGAAATGATCCACATGGCTGGTGCTACTTCATGATTTCCAAGTCTATCCTTGGAGTGATGTTCTTGCCTGTCTGGAGTAGTACCTGCAGCATTTGGCTGTGCTGGAAACAGGCCAGAGACAGAGATTGCCCAGTCCCTGACCACCTGCATAGAATAGTGATCATCTAATTCTACTGTTTTACCACCTCCGTGATGGATATGCTGGGGTCTTGCACATTATTTCCCAGTGCCCAACTCTCAGTGGGCTTTTAAAGTGATTTGATAGCCAAGGATGTCCTGGTCCTTCCACAGAGCCCTCCCTGAAGCCCTCCCTTTCACACTAAGCAGTCTACTGCTCCTACTGTGGCAAAGTCTGCCCTGGCAAAAGACTACAGAATTTAAAACAGACAGCAAACATCTTTGCTACAAGATGCTACAACCTGGAAAAAATACCCTTCTCAAAAACTGAACAAGGAAGTTGTAAACAATGTGCAGTCCAGCTTCCTTGTAGATAACAGATTTTCTAATCCTTTTCAGGGTAAATTAAGAAAGTTTTTTTTTCCTTTCTGGGCCATTACCTTTCAGAAAAGTGCTGCCATAAGGTTTTGTGAAAAAAATTAAAAAAACCCCAAAACACATTTGGCATACTTTGTTCCGAAACTAAACTAACACTCAACTACCTTTTCCTCACTTGACCACCGCTTAAATAAAAGAAGACTTCTCATATGATAGGGAAATTCTTCTTTCTTGGAAACCTTGACCCTGTTGCCAGTAAATATGGAGATATCGTTTAGAGAAACGTCACAGATGATTGTGGTCAAATTTGTTGAAAGTGGAGCAAGACATATAAAAAAGCACAGCAAAAATACCGATCAGCCACCACATGAGCAATAGGTTATCTCTGTGAGCATCTTGGGGAAGAAGCTACTTTGAGGGTTAACAAAATTAGGTTAACCTCTGTCATCTAACCAGTCTGGCTGCATCACACATGCTGCTGTGACTGTAGAGGCTCAAAGATTTGGGAGCGAAGATGAAAGGATGTTCTATTTTCAGATCTGGGCATTTTTTATTTCTGCTTTGCCTTTTTGCTGTGGAAGGCAAAAAGTCACCTACAGGAAAACATACCTGCCGAAAAGGACTCCTCTCCCAGGTGACAGAGAACCTGTATGTCAAGGCAACTAGTTTAAAATCGTCTGTTCCTGTAAGTTAATCCCACTAATTGAAAAGGTTTATTTTATTTATAGATGCTTCTTTATTCATTTAATTACTGAGCTGATGGAAACGTTAATAAGTTGAATGATCTCTACCATCCTGAGAGACAGGGTAATGCAGTTACCTCTTTTCTAAAGGTGGGAAAAAACGATGCATAGTAGATGCATACAGAGACTGGATGAGTTTTCTATGAAAGAAATTTGCAGCTAGGCTAGGACCAGAAAACAGATTTACTAAGTCCTCTACCCTACAACTGAAGAAGACGATGAAGATTAATATTATTGTTACTAAGTTTTGTACAAACCAGGCTTGAAACTGTCTTGCTTCTTCTGCTTGGGTTAATAAATACTATCACATTATATTTTACAGAAGGACCTTATCAAGACCTCGAGACTGCTAAAAAAGACTACAAAAATGCTGTTTATGGTAAGATTTATATTACCAGTTTTCCATTTTCTTACTTTGACTTTCCTTTGGTCAATAGAAACAGGAATATGTGATTAAAAGCAATGACAACTGATGAAAAATCACTTGTGTTTAATTGGGAAAAAGACATTTAAGAAAGCCACATGCTTAATGAAGTTTTCTGCGTAGAGGAAGAATGCTATTTCTCTCTCAAGAAAGGGATATTCCCCCGGGACTTGAAGGGACAGTTGATTATGGTATGGGGAGAAAGAGGTGAATTTGGAAACCCTGCCTGGAGGTACTTCTTTGTAGGTAGCTGAAGTCATGCTTTGCCAGCAAAGTTGGGTTGAGGGTGTTTTTGGGTTTTTTGGGAGGAGTGTGCTTGTGGTATCACTCTTCCTGTGAGCCCTGGCTGCATGTGAGCCTTCCAGGAATGCTTTCAGGTAGCAGCCCTCACAGAAGGACCAGAGCCACAGCCACTGTCCCGCAGCTGAGGCACCTTCTGCCGAGGGTGTGCAGTACCATGGATAGCCCGAGGATGCTGCAGAGAGTTGAGACACCCAAGGAGCTGCTTTGAGCTTAGACCTCTGCAGGTGCACTGGAAGAGGGTCATCAGAGTTCCCAGTGCAATTCGGCATGGGAGTGAGAAACAAACCTTGGGGTGTCTAATTGTAAGTGACTCTAAGTGCGTGAGACAGTTTTCTTCATGCAGAGGTCTAGTCAGCAAGACCAAGTGAGTTGGTTTATCCTTAAGTATAGACCTATTGGCCTTTGGTGCTCCTTGGATTTCACCAATTACCTTGGGAACGAAGGGTCCTTGCTTGTCTGTGGCACCTACCCACAGATATCCATATTGGAGTGGTGTCATCTGCAGGTGCATTAGCTTCCTGACAGGAATCTCTCACCTGACACTTCATTCCATTGCCTAAAAATAGGCATATAGTAATTTGAAATGCCTTTGGGTGTCCAAGAGAAACCCCCAGGTCAAGGAGATACAACACAGAGTTGACAGGATGACTGATCTTTTCTGGAGCAGCAGTTGGGGATGGGCCAGATGTCCTACAGCATATCAAATGGCATGGGATAGTGATGTGGAGGAGTGGAAAAATGACACATACAATGACTCCTACAATTTGACCTAAATGGTCTGGCTTAACTCCCCAATTTATCTTCCACTTACACTTCGGGTGTTAAGTACATTTGTTGCTGTCACTTCTTTTCTGTAAGACCATGATTGGTCTTACCAATACTCCTGTGCCTGCCAGCACAGCACCCTCCTGCCTTTCCTTCAGAAACCACAGAGGCAGATTGAACTGTTTATAACAAAAGGAAGAAGGTAAATCGGATGCTAAAATTCATAAAAATAATTTTATTGATTGCACACTTTCTAAAGATGCAAGTTTTATGAGGCTGAAATTTTAAGACAAAGTTGACTTGTGGGGTGTTCATTTGGCAAATAAGTACTTGATTTGTTTTCAGACAAACTGCAGTGTTCGAGATCAGCTCCTCTCCTTCTATGTGAAAAATGTCTTCAGTCGTCTTGAGGTAGGAAGTGACAAGTTGTACTTTATTAGTGCCTTCCAGGTCCTGCAAGCAAACATGGATGCCTGTGTGAGTATATTCCTGACAGCTAAGCTAACTTTGTCTGTCTGAAAAGTTAGGGAAGGGTTCCATCTCAGTTTTTCAGCAGATGGAGAGGCAGAGGGTGATTCAGAGTCATGGTTTGACCTATGCCACAGGGGACCCAAATTCACAGGGGCATCTCCACTGGGTCCAGGGAAGTTGAACACCATTCATTCCCTCCCAGAGTGATCTTGTGGGGAGTTTGCAAGGTGGTGGAGATCCCATGGAATCAAGCCACTTCCCTACTGACAACGTCACCTTGTGCTGCACTCTAAAGCTGCAAAGAAACAGGGTGATCACAGGGCAAATGTGGCTCCTCAAGTTTCTGTGATGTAACAGTGGTAATGCTTTCCTTCTTCAACCACATACCCTCCACAGGTATCTTTACTCACATGTCATCTCTGCTCCTCCATACTGAACTTTGAAAGAACTGGTGGTGTCTCATGAGTAAGCAGGGACCACAATTATGAAACACATGGGAGCACTTCCTATGTATTACCTGTGCTCACAGTCAGAGTGGGTTGTCAGACAGTGATGCTGCCACTGACAAAATGTCTCCAGGTGCCCCAGAGAAGAGACACTTTTACCAACTCTGCCTAAATAACAACAGGACAGCTGTTAGAGCCTTTATATTTGCCTGTGCAAAGATACTTACTAACATACCAGGGAGACACTACGATGATGCCATCATTTGTTGGCAATTTCTCACATAATTTTTAAGGGTAAACAAATAGTGATTAGGTGTGTCTTGAAACTAAATATCCTATGGATATCTTTTTTTCCTCCACTAAACCTGAAGTCCTCACAAATAATATTGTCCCAGAAAGTGGAGCCTGACCTAGGGTGATATGTAGCCATGGATATTGAGGCAAATGTCTATTGTGATTTTAAAAGTGAGAGCAGGATGGCATGTCAATGAATTAATGAATAAAATTAGTTGAAACTTTGGCTAATCATCTGAACTGCACCACAGAATGAAAGAAAAGGACAGTGGTTCTACATGCACAAAAACATTTGCAATGCAAAAAAAAAAAAAAAAACCACAAAAAAAACCCACCATCTTCAGAGATCTCTTTGCAGACTTATAGGTCAGAATCCTGCAGGTTTCTCAGAGCTCCTGCATTCTTTTCATAATTAGTGCTTGTGTTTTACTTAAGAGAAGTCTAAACGTAACAACTTACCTTTTTGGGTCTTAAAAAGTACTGATAAGAGAGCTAAGACTATCCCTGCTAGTAGAAAAACAACAGCTCTTTGAAAAATGATGGCTTGCCATGATTTTCTAGAAGACACTTCATTTCTGGAAACTAATATTTTTTTGAAATGTTTGTATTAATTCAAACCCAGCAACACAAAACCATGTGAAAAAAAAATTATGACTAGAGTAAAAGTAATGGATTCTTTGCTAAAAGTAAACTTGAGATTTTTTCATATATTATTCCTCAATAAATTAGCACTCATTCATCCATGTACATATCTCTTTAGTTGTTATTACCTAGTTGAGCTATAAGATGTTTATCAGAAGGGATTTCACCATGACTACGTATTATGTAATTAATTATTGCCTTTCAAGAATGAAATTCTCTATACAACCAAAGGAAACAGTGATACCTTTATAGATATATTCACCTTATTTTCTTTCACAAACTTGGGCTGTAATTCAGCCAACTAGATGCATGTGTGCTACCTAGAAATCCTAACAATATTTGTCACTGAACCACTTCCAAAGACTTATACTACAGTATTATGATTCTCACCCTGCCAGTTCTTGGTTTTGTCCGAACAAGGAAGCATTAATATTTTGTAATGATATTGAGGCCTAAATTCAGTTTTTTAGAAATATATACGTTTGAAAATCTCTAAACTGATTTCCTGCCATAAAGTCAGACTTCTTCACTTAGAGTAGGACTGCAAGGTAAAGGAAACAGACATTTTCCCTTGGTTACTTGGAGTACCCACCTGCAGCACCACTGACCTCATTACTTGTTTGAGTGCCCTGGTCAGCATTGCTGAGAACAGTGTGAAGTTGCTTCTGAGGTTGGACTTATGTTCCTACATCAGTAGCACATTGCAGAAGTGTTTTCTTATATTTGAATGGAGTGCAGAAGGACAATGCAGTCCCTGCACAGCCTTTAGTATTTCTCTATCATTTTAGGCAGAGCTTGTAGACCTCAAGCTGAATTAGTGTAATGTTTTCAATACTCTAACTTTCTGGCCAGCTCATTTAGTTAATTGCAGTATATGCAGGAAGATAAGTTTGTAATGTGTATCACCACTAAAGCAAACAAAACTCATTTAAGGTCAGTTCTGCTACCAAATGATATTTTGTGGAAATCTGTATCATACAAGATGGAGATAAAAAAAAAAAAAAGTTCCAAGTTAGAAAGAACTACCCTGGTTGGAAGATTTTTTAAAATAAAATATATGCCTTTGAATGTTTTTTTAAGATTTGCTTTTTTTTTCCCACTTTCATCATATGAGGTGACTTTGGGAAGCACAAAAGGTAACCTGAAAATGTTTGTGCTTCTTTTTAAGGTACTGCATGTGAGATAGAAAAGGACTAACCATTCATTTCAGGGGAGTTATTTCCTTACATGTGTTGAGATGACGACCTTTGCCTTTTTTCTTTTCAGACATGTTGTCCTTGTTTGTAGATTGGAAAACATAACATTTTTCCTTTTTTTCTCTCCGAAAGAATGTATTTTTGACAGTCCAGGTAGCTGAGGATCAGCAGGCCATGTTGCTCAGAAAGCTTAGTCTAGCAACTCTAAAAAAACCATCTGGAACAGCTTTGGGTGGCCAATGCTGAGTGGCCAGAGATAAGTGGTGAGGAGACAACTAGGTCCTCCAGACTGTAATTAGTCAGACAGTAGAGAAATAGGCAGGGAAACACAGAAAAACATAAATTAGCTTAATAAACATATTTGGAGGGCTTGCAGAAATGTGCAAATTTGCTCCCTGTACTTTGCAATGGTCTTTGGCTTCTCTCAGATTCAGAGATTCTGAGGGTTTAGAGCTAAAGAACCTTGAATATCCTTGAACTAGGATACAATGTGCAAAAGCTGTAACTGCAATTTATGTAAAGATTTCTGAGATAAATAGAAAGTGTTTAATAAGAAAACTTAGAGATAGTCATAGTGCCAATTTTGGGTGTTGCGAACTCAACTTGGCAGGAAGAATGCAGATAAAAGAACATATTTGGGAGACACTGAAGTTTTGCTGAGATCACACATTTTACTGGTAGCCCTACAGTGCCACACTGTGGGCTGGACTCTTCTTCATCACTGTGTCTTTATATCAGCATCTTTGGGTTTTTTTCATCCTTCAGCTTCCATGTTCTCCATCCACAAGGTTAACTTCTGCTGTCAAAAAGTTAAAGAGAATGTTTCTTAAGGTAAGAACAGGAGGTGCTGGCTCCCCACTGCACTGTTCAAGGGCTGTAGCTAGTTTCTTTTCTAATGCCTTTATCTTCTCAACAGCTTGGAGATCAGGGATTCTACAAGGCCATCCATGAACTGGACATTCTCCTTCCCTGGATTCAGGCCTACATACAAACCATCATATGAAGAACGAGGAGGCGACAGACAGTGTGCTGCTTCTGCAAGAAGAACAGATCAATACCCAAAAGGCCTGAAAATGACCTGAGAGCCGGATGATCAGTGTGACTGGCAGTAACTCCCTCCCATGGAAAGAGACCTACTGCAACACAAGTGGCACTGAAGAGGGGTTTTCATAAGCTTTCATGGTTAACCTGGCACAGCAGCTTTGCCTGTTCTGCCTCTGGAGCAGCTAGAGCACCCTCTGTGCTTCCCATCCTGCCTGCCTGCCTGCTGCCTCGCAGGCAGCCCCTAAATGTGCCCCACCACCAGAATATGGAATGTGCTACCCTGCCGATCTGGCACAATACTCCATGTGCTGTGGGCATGGTCTTGCCGTGGCTTGCGCACCCTGTGTGAATACAGCTCAGAGAAATGAGGATCACCTTGGAAAATCATTCCCCTAAGCTATATTTCTTTTGGGGCTTGTGTTTCTAGATATATAACTGTATACACAAGCCATTCTACATGTAAATAAGAAAAATAATTATGTACTGCTTATCTTTATTATTAATTTAAGGTAATAGTTGATCCCTAATAAAAATACACAATTAATGTAAAAGCTTTTTTTCAGACTCATGCATGAGTTTTAGATGTCACATGATCTACATGAGATCAGACATTCAGAAAACACAATAAATGGATTGCTTTCACTGGAAATGTAAAATGACTTGTGAGAAATTTATGGAAGTTGATGGTAGTGGTTTCCAGAATGTCTGTCATATAGTACAGAATGAAGATGCAGCTCTAGTTTTCTCACAATTTTAAAGATTTACCAGGAGAAAATATTTAGGCAATGAACATACTCCTAATTTGTATGTTTGGCAGTTCCATGGGGCTGAGATTCTGCAAATCTTCAAATCTCATAGTTCTACTATTTCAGGAGCATTTGAAACCATTAGTGTGATGAAACTGATGAGCCTGAGCTAGTTACTTTTCTGGCAAATGTCTAATAGAAGGGAGTTGGTATGAAAAATACATATTTTTCCAGTTGAAGACAAAATGGTTAATTAGAGGGACGTGGCAAATTTGATGTCATGGTCTTTTTTGAGCATTGTAATTTAACTTTTAATTAACACAATGTCCCTTTTCATGGAATTTTTAACACCCATTAATTTTTGAAATTCAAGTTTGCTTTCAGTTTCAGTGTTTTTTGTCCAAACTGTGGTGTACGGAATAGAAAAATGACTATGGACATGACCTCTCCAGCCTTTGTCAGACACAACTGTCTAGTACTTGCTACTACTGGTAGGGAGCTGGGATCTGGGAGCCCTGTGTCTGTGGGAGTTGGAGGGACTGTTGCTCCTCTGCCTCAGAAGGGAGCCAGTGACACCTGGCTCCTGGCAAACAGAAAAACTGGCACCTTTAGCTGGGAAGATCCATGGGTAATGGTTTCAGGTGATTCAGGTGGCCAAAGACTTCTCTTGCGGAAATGTTGCACATCCGGTCAGCGAGTGATGCATGAAGAGACACATGACCTCTAGAAAGGGCAAGTAACACCTTCCCTGCCACACTGCATTCCTGGAGTCAGCCCTGCAGTGGGAATGGGCAGCCAGCAGACCTCTCACAGCAGGGTTTGAGGTCAGGCTGCAGCAAAGCCCAGCCTCTGTTCATCTAACAAGGAAATCAAGCTATTTTATGGCATAAAAACTAAGGATTTGTGTATTTCAGCGCACATTTTCCATACGGCTTTGGACACTTTGCAGACTCTTACTTGCCATGTCTATAAAATGGAAGTACCTCTGCGAATGATGAATCCCTTCATACAGTAGTGAAAATCACATTTGCAAACCAATGAAACACTCCTGGATGAAAGCCAAAGTACAGCATCTGCAAAATAAAGAACATTACCTAATCCAGAAGTGTTGTGGTTAAATGATACATGCCATATGCAGGCTACCTAACAACAAATATTGCTTTGAGTCTTCACAGAAACATAGCAAAATAATTGGTATTAAATATATTCAACTGTCAAATCAAAGTAATAAGTATGGGCAAAAGTTTATTACCTTTTCAAAACAGACAAGTGAAGGAGTACATTTTAATTTTACAGATGAGACTCTAGGTGTCACTCTTAGAAAACAAGACTCATGTTAGCCTCAACTGCTGACTTCAGTTGATGAAGAAAGTGTTAGAGCACATTTAATAAGTAGTTTTCTTAAGTGGAAACTGAGATAGATATGCAATTGGGTTAAAAAGATTGAATTATTTAAATTCAATTGCCACAAATGTAGAATTGAAATGAAAAATGCAGGGTGAGAATGATGGGCATATATCAACAAACTGATTATGAATTCAGTCTCTATAGTTTTACAATAGTTTTACTATAGAATTCTTATGTGACTATGGACAATTTCCTTTATTAAGGTACTTTTCTCCTTTGACAAATGGGAAAACTGTCTTTCAATTATTTGTTCAAGTTAATTTAGTGTGCAGAAATCCTCAGAAGGAAATTATTTCCCATGTGGTGTTAATTGATGTCACTGTTGCTTAGCATGGCTTATCTTATCACAGTGCTTTGGTCTTTTTGAAGCAGTAACTTATTATGTGGAAAAAAATAAAAAGTATTTTATGACTGTTACTGCAAAAGCAAGAATGAAAAATATGTGTCTGTGCATTAAAATTGTCACTAGATCAAAACTTTAAAAACACTGATCTAGTGGAAAGTAGCAGCTGCACATGCAGTTTTGGTGTTATGTAAATAGTACAGCAACAGTCAGTGAAGACAATTTCCATCACATACTAGATCATGTTCAATTTTCTGGTTTCCCTGAAGTGGTTTTTTTTTTTTTCCTCTAAAGTAAAAAATCTTCAGAGCAGAAGTTTTCACTTAATAAATAATTTCTGCTGTAGGCCCAACCATCTACAGCAAATTCCTGATCTCAGCTGTAGCCCTGGTGCTATAATGTAGTCGTAGAATCATGGAATTATAACATCATAGAATTGTTCAGGTTGGAAAAGATCATTCAGATCATCCAGTCCAGTCATTAACTCAGCACTGAAGAGTCCACCATAAAGCCATGTCCCCAAGTGCCAAATCCACAGGGATTTCCTCCCTCCAGGGATGGTACCTCAACCATTTCCCTGGGCAGCCTGCTCCAGTGCTTGACAACCTTTCTTGGTTGCAACTTGACAGCGCTTTCAGAGAAGACCATTTCCTAATCTCCAATCTAAACAAGTCCTGGCAAATGCTGGGACAGTTTCCCTTGGAGAGCATTAGAAGGATTAGAAAATTAGAAGACTGTTTCCTGAAACATGGAACTAAGAATGGCATTTGGACAATGATGCAACCTGTGTTGGATTTGGCTATTTGGTCACAATTTCTTTGTGCCCACAACATACACTGATTTCTAGGAACTGCAATAGCAGACTCTTCACTGCAAAGATACGTTGCTAAAGGTGAAATGTTTGAACTTTTGGCCTAGCGATTAATGAGATGCTCTCCAGTTAACCCCCAGTAACCAGTGAGCCCAGATACTTAAATCAAGTCATCTTCCTCTCAGGAGTTGTGGGGCTGCCAAGAGAAGGGGTGCGTGGGCAGGCTGTACAGGAATGGGAGGGATACAGCAGCCTCTGTACAGATGCAGTGGTCACCTTACAGCTTCTCCCATCTTTAGCCAACCTTCTTCATGTTGCAAATAATGAGTGCCCTGGGGCTACCCCCTCCTAAATACTGCCAGGATCTGCTGAGCTGTGAAGAATGGTCTCACCTCAAATCTGTTTTAATTGAAAAATCAGTATTTACGTTGACATCCCCTATTCTCGGCTTCAGCGGAAGAGTGATTTGGAAACCTAAAGGCAGCTGGTAGGTTTATTGCACTAAAGGAGCATTGATTGCCAGAGGGAAAAGGGGGCCACAGGAATACCATCAACTGAGGATTATCATGGAATAAAGTGAAATATGTCAGAAGAAAGTTTGAATTGCAAAATCTTATGGATAATGTTTTTTTTCAGATCTTTGGATGGAGTGGGTTGAAGAAAGGCATCAATGGTCATAAAGCCACAGGGTCCACAGGATAAATGAGACTGTCATGGGACTCTGGAGACTTCTGGCCCGACTTCCTGCTCAAAGCAGGGCACACCAGGAGGTCAAACCAGGCTGCTCAGGGCTTTATACAGTTGGATCTTGAAAAATCTCTGATAGGAATGATGGAAGGCTGACTTTGAAGGGCCACTGCATAATTTCTAGCTGGTTAAGGTATTACAGAGCTGAATGAAGCCACAGCTGAAGAAGAAGTTTTCCATAGTTGAAACAACTGCCTGGTCACAAAATGTTTGTGTGAGGTGCTGGCAAGTCTTAAGTCCTGTGAGAGGAAAGGGTTGAATGAATTTTGAAACAGAATTAAGGCAGATGAAAAGCCACAGATGTTTCACTTCCAGTAAATTATTTCTGAAGGTTGTAGGCCCCTCTCAATTAATACTGAGGATTTTGGGCCAAAGCCTTGGAGATGGAAACCAGCCCACTCCTGAACTGGCTCCTGGCTCCTCTTTTTGCAGCATAGGCACTGCCAGGGAAGTTTCTAATGTGTGGCCCATAAAAAGGTTATGCAGATCTCCCTGCTCCTTGACTGTTGTCTCTGGATATCTCCAGAGTGCCCCACCTTCTCATCCCAGGTTATAATGGTCTTTTTAGAGTTTTGTTGGCTTCTGGTAGGTTTTCTGCCTCAGCAAACTGGCAAAGAGCAGGAAAACATGTTAAAGTAGGATATTTAAGTAATTTCAGTTATCTGATTACCATTCCCTGATTTTTGAATCATCAGAGATAGAAACCCGAGAAAATACAAATTTAATTCTGTTTAGTGGAAGAGGGTGTAATAGATGTAGAGGCAACTGAGGAGGAAGGGTGCAGAAGAGGAGTGATGATGGGTGAACAGAGGAGCCGGGGGTCTTTGGGTCTTATCTGTATGTTTCAGCATATTGCTGTATTTTGCACATTAATAAAACTACTTAAAGAAAGCTGGATGTAAAGT